GGGTGGAAGGAGGGTGGGATAACTAATAGGTCCATCCCTCAGCGCCTATATCCCTTCAAAGAATACTTCTGACCCTTCCAGCCGATTCTGGACGAGACTAATATGGTACCACCTACGCTACTTAGGTTGTTTTTGTTTTAGATTCAGCTATTGCTTTGAACTAAAAGTTCCAAGCAGCATGGAGCCTGTCGTCTTCTCCTGGCACAGGATATGAGAGATTACCTGCCCCCAGTGATAACCACTGACACCCCCTTCCATCCCCTGACAACGAATGACACCACCCGCCTCCAATGACAACCACTGACACCACCTGTCTCCCCTTAAAACCACTGACACCACATGCCTGCCTTGACACCACATGCCTCCCTTGACAACCACTGACACCATATGCCTGCCTTGACAACCACTGACACCACATGCCTCCCTTGACAACCACTGACACCACCGGTATGTCTGGTCAACATACTTCAGCCACGTTATTGTGACTCATCGCCTGCATGTCTAGTATGTGCTGTAGAAGCACAAACTCTACATATAAGGTGTAATTTGCATGTACATTGATTAATAAATGAAAGTTGTGAAGTACTTTGAAGTTGTAAATGACTTACCTGAGTAAAATAGATATCAAAGTTCGGCCACCTGTAGCTGAGCTTGACTTCTTCGACAGATTTCGTTCATAATTGGCACCCTTGCAGATAGGCATCCATTGAGCAAGGTGTGCAAGTTCCATGCACATCCCCTGATAACAAACGAAAAAAAACAAATTGACAAGAAAAAAGGAAAGAAAAATTACATATATATATCCAGCACATACATATTACAATTATTACAAGAGTTTGTGCTTCTACAGCACATAGTAGACATTTTAGTTGACACATGTGTTCCCTGAGATTATTAGAAAATGTGAAAATTCGTTGCATAATACGTTGTGTATTTTTTTTCTCCTTTTCTGTTTAGGGTGTGATGGTGAAACTTGGACCAGTTGCAGCCCTTTCTGTAACCATTTCATAAATAAATTTATAAGCAAATTGAACAACTTTTAATTTAAACCAGATTATGCCCCCTAAGCCTGCCATAAATAAGACCTCTTAATTATCATTACTAATATATGTAGTTTAATATTGTAGTTTGATTTACTGCATATATTATAAACATCCCCCACCCCCCGTAAT